TTCCTCCTGTCCCAAGACTGTAACTCTTTACGGGAGTAGAAAGCACCTCATTTTCTCCCAGTTAAGGGCTTAAAAAGCAAAAAACAAATAAGTTAGTACCACACTTTTTAAACAGCCACGAATTGTACACTTTGAGGATTTTCCGTGGCTATTGTAGGAGCACGTTGCTCTCTGCACTCCACACCCCCACCATGCCCCACCAAGCCCGAGTCGTGGCTTGACCAAGTTCCAGCAGTTTGCTGCCATCAAGTCTCATCCAGTTCCCTCATGGCTCCCCTGAAGGACAGGATGACCTCTTGCGGTTTCAAAAGCTGCCAGTCTTTGGGGGAGCAGAACGCTTCATCTTTGTCTTGAAGAGTGGCTGTTGATTGGGGCGGCTGACCGTGCCCCCCTCGTTACCCACGACACCATCAGGGCTCTGAGCAGCTCTGTAGCCAATGAAAACGGATCCGTTTAGAAGGTGCATTTTCCAGCCCAGGTGCTCTATTAATTTTTACTGGAAAGTTCTTTTTTTCCCATTCGAGGAGCATTTTTTAACAGTGTAGCCAAGACCCTGGGAAGTTATTTGGGGTTTTCATTTGATTCTTTCAATACCTTCCAAACTTTCCCCTTTCTGGTTCCTGTTATCTCCAATACACAAACTCTCAGAGAATACTACGTTCCCACTGGACTAGAGGATTCGTGTTGCACGCTAATGTCTGAGTGTGCCCTGGGATGAAGCTTAGGCCTCCTGGTTGAAATGGGATGACCTCTTTCCTTATAAACAGAGGAAGTGGTGCTGATGAGTCCAGGGACTTCTGGGTAAGCTTTTCAGCTCCTGTGAGGTCATTGACTATGACCTCAGCGGCGTGTGTTCTTAGAAACACAACAAATACAAACTGAAGCGGGTGATTTCGATCAAGTCAGCTGGAATGCACTCATTCCCAGGTGATCGGTCGCTAAGAGCACCCATTCTCCTTTTCTCACACTAGGTTCTGTAAGGACCTTTTTTGGCTGGGGTGTTTAAACGGATCCAGAATAGGCTGTCTAAGGTGACTGACAGGGTGGTGGGGGGTGTCCAGGGAATGACGTGCAGTATCTGTGCTTATCACTTTATTCCAGGGTTTTCCAAAGTGGGCCATGCCACCTCCTGGGGGACACTAACTGGTGGGGGGAGGGGCTGCAAAAGCAGATGCCTACACTTTACCCTAGATTGGGGGCCAGAGTATAGCTGTTTTTAATGGCCAGCAGGCATGGCATAGTTTTGTGTTTTTTTTTCTGAAAAGGGGATATAGGCCACATCAGTTGTCTGGGAATCTATGCTTTATATGCATGCTGCAGGGTGAAATGAGAGTACCCTGTCCTGGTGGTGTAGTGGTTGTGAGTTGGGCTGAGATCCACATAGTTGACAGTTTGAAACTATCAGTAGCTCCTCAAGAGAAAGACTTGGCTTTCTATTCCCGTAAACCGTTAGTCTCATAAACCCACAAGGGCTGAGTATGAGTCAGCATTGACTTGATGGCAGTGAGTTTGTTTTTTTGCATACAAATAATAGTTACAATTTCCAGAGTTCTCCCAAAGTTTAGCTATAATGGAATTGCATGTTAGAGAAATGTTTTTTTTTCTTATTCTTCAAACATATTTAAGTATTACAATCCAGAATAATAAAATTTTGAGATAGTCCCTTTCTGTTTACAGTAAGCCCCTAGGTTATGAACACCCTTTTACTTGCCTTTTCCAAAACTCAGTGCCTTTGAGTCGACGCTGACTCATAGACTATAGGACAGAGTAGAACTGCCCCTGTGAGTTTCCAAGACTGTAACTCTCTATGGGAGTAGAAAGCCTGGTCTTTCTCCATTGAGCAGCTGGTGGTTTCAAACTTCTCGTCTTGAGGTTAGTAGCCCAACCCTTGGCCACTACGCCACCAGGGCGCCCTTCCATGTATTTGCCTTGTTAGTGTTATGCAAACTTACCCTTACTTGCAAAGAACTGCGCCAACCCCTGCTTGAGAAAAATCCTTCCACACAGTCACCTTCACTTGCTGTCTGTGCAGCTGTTACATCGCTGGGAACCTTCCTTGCCGAATAAGAACCATGCGCACCTCGTGTGACTTACCTGCAAATTCTTACACGGGTGGAATTCTTTTCTGACCCAGGGACTGCCTGCCTGAATACATCTTTTCATTTTCTACTTAAAACTGCCATCAATTCATTGATGACTCATAGTGACACACACCACCCCCGCCCCCCGAGTTTCCAAAGCTGTGACTGTTTATGTGAGTAGAAAGCCCAGTCTTTCTCCCAAGGAGCTGCAGGTGGTTTCGAACTACTGACCATGTGGATCGCAGCCAAATCATAATCAGTACACCACCAGAGGCCCTTTTCATCTTAGGAGGTGGTATTTATGGGATCACCTGTGCAGAAACTACTAGCTAAGCTAGTAGTTGTTGAAGTGGAGATTTTTTAATTTAAAAATTCGAAGGATTTAGAAAATGCCGCCTAGCATTTATAAGGGGCCTGGTGTTGCTGTGGGTCAGGCTTTAAGCTGCTCACTGGAAGGTGTCACGGACGAATGACAATAGGTTTGATGGCTTTTTGTTTGGGTTTAGCATTTATAAAATGACTTCGGATTAGTTTGACAGAAAATACGCAACTAGCACAATCAGAAATGATTTGCCTTTCACGGTGTTTATTTCCCAAGCTTGTGAGTGTTTCGTTTCTTTGATCAGCATTAACCTGGGCATTCAAAGTCAAGGCCTTATGATGTGTGTGTGTGTGTTTTATGTACACACACATAGGCAGTCCCTGGGTTATAAACATCTGACTTTTGTACAACTCATAGTTACAAGCCAGCCCCTATAAAGCCTACTCTGTTGTTTACTATTAGTCAAGGTGCTTATAGTGGCTCATAATAACATCTGGGCACTAATGGGCAACACACAAGACAAGGCTCTTGGGATGACAGTTCTGTGACCTTCTCTTCTGTATGTAACACTGTTCAAATAGCATTCCAGTTATATCATGCTGTGGACATTAAATGATGCATATGCATATGTATGGATATAGTCACACATACATGATATTGTCAGTTTTGTGATTGGGAGATGGTTTATTTTTTTAGTGGTAAAGTGATGTTGAGAAGTAGCCTCCAAACGGATCCATTTTGCTGGGATTTCAAGAATTTAAGATTGCGTAACCTGGTTTCTGCCTTTCCCTTTGCGAACCCATAGGTTTTTTGTCTTAAGAGCCTTTGTTATGATAGAAAATGAAGGTGGAACCCACTGGTGCTTCCTTTGATGCAGCCAGGAATTAGGCCTACAGATGTTACTTTACCACCTGGAAGTCTATAAACGAGAGAGGCCTGGTGGCACTCTGGGTTAAGTAAGCATTGGGCTGCTTCATAGGAGAAAGATGAGGCGACCACTGTTGTAAAGTGGGGTCATCACCGGACGGAGTGTATACCCACATTTCTCTCGGTGGCTCTTTTCATTGCTGTGCCTTCTCCCCCTTCTGTTCTTCCAGGTCTGGGTGCTGTGACTCCATCACCTACCATCTTTCCAGGACTTTCTCACAGTTCAGTGAGGCTGATTCTAGAAATGAGCATCCCTGTTGCCGCCTGCAATGTTATATCCTCCTCTTGGCCTTAACAGCTTTATGGAGAGCTAGTTCACATGTCCTTAAATGCACCCGTTTAAAGTGCACACTTCATTGGGTTTTAGGATATTTCAAAATTGTATAGCTCTTGCCATGACCTACCAGCTGTCACGTCCTATGTCCCCTTCCCCCGTTCCCTGCCAACCACTCATCTACTTTGTCTATGTACCAGCTTTTCCGAAACTTTCGTATAGTAGAATCTTCCAGTATATGCCTTTTGTGTCTAGCGTCTTCCCCTTAGACCCCCCCTCTCCCAAAGCCACTGCCATTGAGTCTATTTCAATGCATAGCAACCCTATGGAGGGTTTCTGAGATCGAAAATCTTTATGGGAGCAGGTAGCTCATCTTTCTCCATCAGAGGAGCTGTTGGGCTTGAACTGCCAACCTTAGACTCATTAGCTTCTATACCTAACTCACTAAGCATAGCATTTTCAAGATTCATCCATGTTTTAGTTATGTCTCATTTTTCTTAAGAGCTAGTTATTTCATATCCTTTTGGGAGTCAGAAGTCAAATAAGAGTCTATCATGTGGATATAAATTTTGCTTATCCATTCACCTTTTGAGTTGTCTCTATATTTTGGAAATTATCAAGCTTGCTGCAGTAATCATCCAAGAACAAGTCTCTGCTTAGACATGTGTTCAGTCTTCCCGAGTCTATGACAAGGGGTGAAATGGCTGGGTCAATGCCAACTTTGTTTAGCATTTTGAGGAATTGTCTGTTTTCCAAAGTGGCTGGACCATTTTACTTGCCACCAACAGTGGGTGGGGTTGCTAATTTCTCCACGTCCTCACCAACACTTGCTGTTGTGTGTCTTTTCTGGCATAGTTCCAAACGTGTCAGAAGTGGTTTCTCATTGACTTTCTTTGATCCCTTGCATTGACTTTCAGGACCAGCTCCTTAACAAAAGGAAGAAGCAAAAGGAAGAAGCCAGGGCTTTTAAAGACTCCCATTGAATCTGTCCATCCCTTGAGGAGTGGTGTCATCCTAGCAATATTAGATCTTCCAACAGAAGAAACACGGGGTGTAGTCTTTCCATGCACTTACTCCTTCCATTGTTTTTGTCAACTGTGTTTCATAGTGTTCGGTGGCTGCCACTTCTTTCATGAAAGGGGTTTCTGGTTTATTTGTGTGTGTGCTATTGTAAGTGGAATTGGTCTCTCATTTTCAGATTGCTCATCGCTGGCATAGAGAAACAACAATTGATTTTTTTATACACTGATTGTGTCCTGAAACCGTGCTACACTCATCTATTAAAGCTATTGTTTGTTTGTTTGTTTTGGGTCTCCCCCTTTATTGTTACATTTTTGCAATCATTGAATCTACTTATAATGAGCTATGACTTGAAAGTGTGTTCTTTGTTTTCTAGGAATTGTAGCTGTGGGCTTCATCAATGAGGCTATTGATGAGGGGAATCCATTGAAAACGTTAGACACCTTGCTGCTCCCTACTTCAAAGATTAGAAATGTCAACCCCGACTATGCTCAGCACTACCAGGATGTCCTGTCGCAGGCGAAATTGCAGAAATTCAAGGTAAGTCTTAGGATGCTCCTCATTTCTGGTCAGCTCGCAGGCCGGGTGGGGGAGGTAGCTTTCTCTGCCCCATCGCTGACCTGTGAGCCTGGGTGGAAGTTACAGTGCTGTTTTTTCTCTAGTACCAAACCTTAGGGGGAAACCAGCTGCCACGTGGATGACAGCTTCTCTCTATTCTTTAATGTAAAACTAGTTCCGGTTCAGAGTTGAATTTACGGATATTCACTGAGCCCGCACTGTGTCCGTAGCACAGTACACGGCGTTTGGGAGGGAAGCGGGAGAAAGAGCAGTACCTGACACCGTGGGAATGTTCCGGCCTTCCCCTCAGACATGGCAGTGGCCATTCTCGGAAAGGAAGAGTTTTATAACAGTAGAGATTAGCTTGTGGCAAAGGGTCCAAATGAGGCTGCCCAAAGGGATGATTCAGCAGTGGTTAGAATTATCGTGGACTGAAATCCAAAGAGAAGCAGGCATGGGGATAGAATGAAACCGGTACCTACACGATAAGGGTGTGTTGATGAGGTCGGTGGAGAGCAGCATAAGGCAGGGGAGTTATGCACTCGGTTCGGTTCTGACCCATAGGGACACTGCACAACAGAACAAAACACTGCCCCATTCTACACAGCCTCCCAATTGGCTTTATGATTGAGCCCTTTGTTGCTGGCCAGCACTAAGGAGATAATGACAGATAACCGTAGGTCTAGGGGCGTGTTTGCATGGTTTGCTTTTTTAAGCCTGGGAAGAACTTTCCAGGATTCTCTTGAAGAAGAGTGGATTTTATCTGGCTCAGGAGTCCCACTATTGAAAAGGCACTGGGCTGAGGTGTGTATGACCTGTCACAAGCGATACTACCTGGGACCAAGCTACGTGTGCCTGGCAATATCCAGACAAAGGCCAACTTGACAGGGGTGAGCATCGCCCTTGTTCTGAGGACTTGGGACCCAGGAGCTGCCTCGTCTGAAACAGGAAAAATATTTTTGGCTACAGCAAACATTTACTGAGGACCTACTCTTTGTCACATATTAAGTATTCATAGTTCACATATTTTCTTTAACATATTATACAGATAAGTACTTTTACCTAATAAATATATATGTATATATTATGCATAATTATCTTATTTCACCCTGCCAGCCCTAGGCAGCAAGTAACCTTGTGGCCACCTTACAGACGATGAAGCTGTAGTTAATCCACTTGTCCAGCGCCATCTAAGTGCTGATTATATAGCCTGTGTGTGTCTGTTGAATTCAAAAGCATCTGTTATTGTGCATTAAGGCAAATGGAAAAAGATATTTGCTGTTACAGAAGAGACCAGAAACAGCCTTAATGCCCATCCGGAGGAGGGCTAGCTAAAAAAAAAAATTATCGTATAACCAAGCAGTGGCCTCCTAAGTAGCGCTGAAAAGGCTGGGTGGACCTGCACAGAGGATGTTTCGTCTGTGTCTTGTGACATGACCAAAGTGTGCTTCCATTTCCATGTGCCCAAGAATGGGCAATACATCCGTGGAACCACTTCCGTGCTAAACACGAGGGGGGGTGGCGGGGGCGGCTAGCTTTCTTGGCAGTCTGCCATCACCCTTAACACTCTGTGATTCCAAGCAGTGGATTCCGTTTACTTAAATTGTGCTTTTTAAAGCATACGCTTCCTTTGCAGCAGCTTTCTTTTTCTCAACCAGTTCTAATTTCCTGGAAAAAATCTGATCGTGTATTTGTTTGGCAGGGTCTCTGTGTTTGTTTGTTTGATCTCTGCTATTTTGATGCCTAGAAACTTCCGGTTGTGTCTCTTATGGTTGTTTTTTTAACTTTGCCTGCCAAGGTTAGAAGAGTCTGTGAACGGTCGTAGCACAGGAAGCCATCCGGGTACAGGCATCTGATTTAGGCCCTTGGGTGCTGTGCGAGTTTGCCCTCACTTTTAAAACAATTGAACCAACCCCTACTCACGGCTAACAGCCTGTACTTGCTCCACTCTTAAGTCATTGAAATGGCTCTGAGGTTTTGTCTTTCCACCCAAACCAGTCTCTGGACTCACTGCCTTCAAGCCGCTGCGGACTCGTCACACCGCCATAGGCCAGAGTAGAGGTCCCCCGTGGGTTTCCAAGGCCGTCAGTCTGTACAGGAGCGTTCAGAAAGCCTCATCGTTCTCCTCGCTGGTTTCAAACTGCGGGCCTTGTGTTGCCTAACCCACTACCTCACCAGGGCTAGATAAAGAACTGTATGCACCTGTACGTGCTTACCTTCAGATCAGGCTTAAAGACCCACTGGGGAATGGATCTCCTTTGTAATGCCCGGACTGGCTGTGTAAAGTAAAAGTTGTGGCAACATCCACAGCCAAGAAAGGTGGCAATGAGGCGCATCTCAGAGGCTGCACACTGTTTTCCTGAAGACTGGGGACAGTGATGTACGTTGTGGTGGCTTCTCAACCCTCTTTAGCGGTATCTCAAGTGTAACCTTGTGTTTGGGGATTCAAGAAAGGGATATTGGCGGACATTTGGCAAAGAACACATGTTCTTCCGTACTCCCGTGAGACATTCTCTTGTAAACTATTTTAACATTGAAGACTTTACTTGAGAGCATATACATTATACCTCTCCTCGAAGAAAATTCAGTTTTACTCTTTGTAATTTTCTCTATAAAAATTAAGTGTGCCCCAATAAAATGATTTAAAAAAATAAACTGTGTTTACAGCACTGATCAAGAAAAAAAAGTGTGTTTTTAATAAGCAAACATCACTGTACTTTTTCCCTCGGTAAAATGGTATTCTGGTTGATGGCCTCATGGGGGTGTGTTGTGGTTGACAACGTGTGTGTGTGTGTGTGTGTGTGTGTGTGTGTGTGTGTGTGTAATAACACCACCCCCTTATTTTAACTTTTTTAAAATAAGTTCTTTGCAGGGATGTTTTCATCACCTTAAAACGTCCTTTAGATTGTGTGGCTGGTTTTAATGTTTTCCTGATTTTCCTTTTTCATGTGACCACACCTTTAAGGAATAACGTCTTCATATGCAACCTTTTTGCCCAATTCTAATGAGATAAAGGAAGGAACTAAGAAAGCCCTACCCATTCACACATAAGCATTTAAAGAGGGTTGTTAAATCCTTTTAATGGTTATTACAAAGTATATGGTCAATGCAAGCTCCTACTACAAATGTAAATGCATCTTCACAATCCTTCATGCTTCAAGGCTTCCTTACCCTCATTCATATACACCCCTGGGCCTCCCCCCCTTAGCCATTCCATACTCCACCTGCTGTCTACTCCCTCATGGAAGAGAAGCATAATTATCTACCAACGTAAGATACTGGGCCTTCATAGCAACAAAACAGTTTTGTATGCCAGTGACAGTGGAGGGGTCATTTTAAACTTGGTAATGACCTTATGAGCTTATTTTTGCTATTTAGATGCTTGGGGTTTCCTTCATTCCTTCAGTGGCATGATGCATGGGGTGTGGAGTGCAGGGACCCACAGAAGCCAGGAAGACTTGAACTTGGGGTCACCCGGAGCTTGAAGAAGGTAGAGGGCAAGTGCCTTCTCACTGTGCCCATAGTGCCTAGTGTGTGTTACCAGAATGATTACTTGCTTCTAAATGAGCTATTCATAAGTGCCCTAATAAAAATAGAAGAAACCCTTTTAGATGGCAGGAGGGGTGGGTGCGGGGGTCGTGGGGAAGCATGAGAATGAGGGAACAATGGCCTTGGGAAGACTTCCAGAATTGGACAGATTGGGAGCAAAGATAATAGGAGCAGCTCTCTAATCATAAGCAGAGACAGAGAGAGAAGTCCAGCTCACAACAGAGCAAGAAGTTCAGGCTGGGCCTCCGTTGTTTGCAAGGTTGCACAGGAAATAGGGTAGGAGGGCTCTCCCCGAATGCCAGCCTGACTGGACTCATTCCCCAAGGACTCCAGAAGCATGTGGAGTCAGGGCAAGGGCTCAAGCTGGCACTGGGGAGTGATGTTTTCAGGTTGGTGTTTGAAGGTTCGTCTGGTATTTACCTATGAAAAGAATGGTTAGAACACGAAGGTTGGAACTAAGACAAGGATCACAGGGAGAGACAAGCAGAAAGCGTAGACAAGGCAATAATCAACTCAGCCACCAGCATAAGAATCCAAGGAGATAAATGCGTATATAAAACACGATGCCCGATGACAGTTATGGGACTGCCGTGCATAAAAGGAGGTGGGGGGGGGGCGGAAATAACCAGAGAGACTTTGATTTGGAGAAGTCAGGACGTCCGGTACCAGCAGATAAATGGCAATATGTAAATCACCCTAAAGAGCGTTGATAGCAAATGTTCTCCTCAATGGTGGTCTTAAAATAATGAGAAAGTACTTTTGTGAAGGCCAGTCCTTTCCTTGCGGTGTTTGATCGTGCAGCCCTGTTTCATAGTAATCCTTAGATGTCCCTAGCGGCTAGAGCTCCTAGCTTAACTCACTCTTCTCTAAGACGATTTCACCATCGTCAGGTAGGAAGTGGAGTGATCTCTTATCTTTGACATCAGAAAATACAGGACTGGATCGAGGCAACTGTTCAGGCTGCCCAGGCACAGAGCTATGAGGTAGATAAAGTACAGGCCGTCGGTGTTGTTGTAGTAGTAGTTAGCATGGTGAATGATGAGTATGATGTTGCTTGGCGCAAAGCAGATGGTAAAAATCGCCAGGATGAGGAGACTGGCCTTCACAGACCGCAGCCATCTGCGATCATAGGTGTTCAGCGTCCTGATGATGGCAGTGTAGCAGAAGAAGATGACCACAAAGGGAATGAAGAATCCAAAGAATGCCAAGGAGATGAAGTAGTAGGTTTGGAAGGGAGACGAAGGCTCGCACGTGTTGTGGACATCGTGGCAGGTGGTGATGTCCGGCTGGACAAGGTAGTACTCCTGCTTCAGGATGAAAAATGGCAGCATGTATAAGAAAACCATTGCCCACACCAGTCCACACGTCAGTAAGGCGTAGGTGCGCTTGGGCAGCCCCCGGTAAGTGAAGGGGTGCACGATGGCCAGGTAGCGGCTGATGCTGATACAGGCGAGCAGTAAGATGGAGCAGTACATGTTGCCATAGAAGATGAGCGTGGTGGCCCGGCACATGGCCTCGCCAAACACCCAGTTGTTGCCGTTGAGATGGTACGCGATCTTAAAGGGCAGCGTGATGCAAAAGAAAAAATCCGCAACGGCCAGGTTGGTGTAAAGGACTGCCATGCAGACGGATCTGGTCCTGAAGATGAGCATCCACAGGGTCACGGCGTTGGCTGACACGCCCACCAGGAAGACCAGGATGTAAATGGCGGGTATCAGTTTGGTGCTGAGGGAGCTGCTCAGGTACCCCAGGGTAGCGTTGGTCACGTGGAGCTCTGATACACTTTCCTCGGGACACTGAGCTTTTGAAGTATGGGTGGCTCCCGTCCAGCCTTCAATGTCGGACATGGGAAACCCTTCAAAAGAACTTGGGGGGCCTCCGCGAAAGGTCTTAATAGGTAATGTTGGCTCTACCAAGTGGTCCGCGTCACGTTCCATGCCTGTAATGGAAAGAAGTGTTAGCATGGGGTTCATTGCAGAATCTAACCAATGGTTCAAGGGAGCCCTTGTTCCTAAGATCAGCAGTTCGAAACTCCCAGCTGTTCCACTGGAACAAGATGAGGCTTCCAACTCCTGTAGGGATTTACAGTCACAGAGACCCACTGGGCAGTGCTCCCCTCTCCTGTCGGGGTCCCGATGAGTGCGGATCGACTTGAGAGCCGGGAGTCTTACCTGTGTGTGGTTCAGGAGAAAATGCAAGTACCTTCTACGCTGTCCTCTCTGTTGTTCTACAGTTTAGGTTTTTGGGGTTGTTTTTTTAAAGTTGTATAGGTCAGATAATCAACAGAACATAGGCCCCAGTACCGTGTGAGCCCCCCACTGGAGCTATTAACTAGTCAGTCTTCCTTGCAAGTAAAGGTTTTATAATATTGTGGGGAAAATAGAAATCGTGCCTGAGACCAACGCTTTTTGATGGGAACTTCTGTAAGTATTTAGATGGTGCTTAGAAGATGCAGGTATTTGAGCAAAATGTCAAAGAAAGGACCAATAGGGAGCAAGGTTCGTAGAGATGGAATTTAATAGTTCAATCGTATTCTGGTAAGGCAGTATGAGTTGGCGTGGAATTAGGGAATATCAGCTCAATTGATTCCAAAAATGCTATCTCCCATACTTCTGTGCTAGTAGTATAAAGTTTTTAATAAGTGCTATCCTCATCCTTAAATAATGCTCAGGCTAGCAGACAGGTGCATATTTTAATAAGTTGTTTTATGGAAGATGAGATTGTAGATTCCAGCCAAATTTCTAAAAAGCATCTGATGAACTTTCTTAGAAAACATGTGCTTCTTCATAAAATTTGGAGACCACAATTTTCAACAGAGGGATGACCAGGCTGGTAGGTAACGACGCCTCAAATTCTTGTCCTTAGACCCTGTGACTCGGTGACCTGCGATGGCAAAGGGGCCTTTGCAAATCTAGTTAAGCTAAGGAAATTGAGATGGGAAATTGTCTTGGATTATATGGATTAGGGGATCTTGATTAACAGGAGTCAGGTTGATGCCGCCGCACACTGACCCTGTAGGACAGGGCAGACTGCCCCTGCGGGCTTCTGAGACTGTTGCTCTTGATGCGAGTAGGAAGCCCTGTCTGTCTCCCTGACTGGCAGTTTTGAACTTCAGATCTTCTGCATCGCAGCCCAACCTGTCATCACTATGCTACCAAGGCTCCTAAGAGGGAGCAGGGAGGCTCCAGCTCAGAGAGAGAGACTTGCAGATGTGACCCTGCGGATTTTGAAAATGGAATAAGGGACTCATGAGCAAAGAAAAGCAGGCCACGTGGAGAACCTGAAATCAGATAATCCTCTGGAGCCTCCAAAAGTAATAATTCCCCCACTGACCCCTTGATGCCAGCCGTCATCAGTCTGTTTTAAGCCACTGCGTTTGTGCTCATGTGTTGTGGCAGCAATAAGACATTAATACACTCATGATTTGACATGTGCTTAGGATAAGGTGACCAGATGTCCCGCGTCCCGCGGCGTTTTTAAAAAGTCTCAATTTTTGGAAAGAATGCACGACAAGCTAGGGAACGGCGGGAGAACGGGAAGGGAATATACGGTTTTCAGCTGCCATGTAGCTATTTCGCCAGGATATGAGTTTTATATTATTTTTGTTAATTTTATAATGTTAAACTTTAATAATAAATAATTGTTGAGAACTGCTTATCAAAGTTCGCATTGTTGATCAATTATTACAATTTGACCACCATTGTTTGGATTTAATGAACAATGGTATTTTTTGGCATTGGCAACGACGAAAACATTTTGTAACTGTTTCTCAGATGATACACATCGTACTGCGTGCTAGTGCTAGTTAAACAAGTGATGTCAACAAATCAGCTATTCAGATAATTTAGATAAGTAATTTATTTATTTCATAAATACATAAATTTTCTTGAATTTAGCAAGCAGTATTGGAATGATGTGCAAAAATCATTCGATCATATTACTCAAAATTTCCCATATAGTAATATTTCTGAAAATGATCTTTTTAATGAGGTTTCATTATTAAAAAATATATTGATAAAGAAAAGGTTAAATCTTGGGCATCAGCAAAAATCACAATAGAGAACAAATGGTTAGAAATATTTCATCATTTTGAAACAAACCATGTTCTATACAATAATGCACTAAAAATTGTGGAATGCGCGCTGTCCTTACCAGCAACTAATGCTGCGACTGAATGTGTTTTTTCTATGGTAAATAACGTGTCGACATCAGAAAATTCACAATTAAGTGTTGAGACTTTGAAAGCCATTTTTGGTATGAAATATAATTTAACAAATTCTTGTGAAATTTTTCATGACCTTTTAAACAACGACAGCAATCTACTAAAAAAAAAATTCACTCAAATGAGAAATATGCCAAAGAATAAACTAATACTATACATAATTTTTAATGTATTATATTTGTAAATTGTACTTATGTTGACATTTTAAAAAATATTACAATACTATTTTTGCATTCTATGCATATTTTTGTTGCTCCATATAGACCAAATTTTTAATCAGGAACCTCCCCCCCCACACACACCTCCTGGTCAATGGTGTCCCGCTTTACCAATGTTAAAATCTGGTCACCTTAGCTTAGGATGACTTCAATTCTCAAGTGTATTAGTGTCCTATTGCTGCTGCAATTAATTACCACAGCCTAGTAGCCTAAAACCACACAGATTGATGACCCTACAATTTCTCGAGGTCAGAATGCCTAAAATCAAGGTGCCGGAGTGTTCAGCATGACTTGAAGGAGCCCTACTAGTGTAGTGGCTAAGGCGTTGGGCCCCTAACCACAGAGTTCGCAATTAGAAACCATCAGCCACTCTGCGGAAGAAGATAAGCGTTTTGCTCCTGTAAAGATTGACCTTCTCGGAAACCCACAGCAGCGGTTCTACCTGTCCTGCAGGGTTACCATGAGTCGGAATCAACTCATACTGATTCCGTGAGTTAAGTTGAGTTGGCAGTGAGTTAGGTTGGTTTTTGTTTTTGTTTTTGGCTTTTCAATGCCATTGGTTGACAATGTAAAGGTTGGAATGGCCAGGTCAGAGGCTAGGGGTCCTGACTGAGAGGCAATGGAAGATGGTGTGTTATGGAACAAGAGCAGTTGTAGCAGAAAGATAGACACAGGACTCATTGATGAGGGCTTGAAGGGGCTTGTCCTCTGACTGCTGATGGCGGCAGTAGTGGAACACAGGAGGCCAACGTGCCTGGGGACATCAACCTGGCATGACTTGGAGAAGGAAGGTACCACCATTCACTGAGGTGGAGTGGGGGGTCCCCATTTGAGTTTCCCTGAGTTTGAGTTGCAGGTGGCAGAGCAGTGTACAGGATACCCAGCAGCGGGCTGAACGAGGGAGTGTAGACTCCAGCATTACAGGACCCCAAAGGAGAGGGAGGGGTTCATTAGCTTACACACAAAAAATGCCATTATCTGTTGACTCCTTGAGATGGTGTAGGACAGAGATGGGGAACAGCTGGCCCCAGAAAACATCAATGCCAGCTAACCTCGCACACCTCACCAAAGAGAAGCCATTCCATCCATTGTATTCCAAGAGCCAAACCCTGCCGTCAGTCGGGTCTGACTGTAGCTGTCCTACAGGACAGAGTAGACTGCTAACTGTCTCCAGGAGCAGAAACCCTCGTCTTTCCCCTGAGCCATCACATTAGGGAGATGAATTGATTAAATATTTGGCCAGTGTGGTCTTTGAATGATGCTATAAATATCCAAATGGCCCTTGGCAGAGAAAAGATTCCCTACCCCTGCTTGAGGGAGCAATGCAGGAAGTAAGAAGCTGAAGGCCAACTGTAGAGGAAATGCCTGGTTTTAAAGGAGAATTAAAGAAATACCAGAAGGTGAAATCGATATGATGCCTTAGAAGCAAGGCGTACGTTTGTTTGTTTGTTTAATCATTTTATTGGGGGCTCATCCAACTCTTATCGCAATCCCTACATCTATCAATTGTATAAAGCACATTTGTACATTCGTTGCCCTCATCATTCTCAAAACATTTAATCTCCACATAAGCCCTTGGCATCAGCTCCTCATTTTCTCCCATCATCCTCCCATTGCCCCTCCCTCATGAACCCTTGATAGTTTATAAATTGTTATTTTGTCATATCTTGCCCTGTCCGACGTCTCCCTTCACCCACTTTTCCATTGTCCATCCCCCAGGGAGGAGGTCATTTGTAGATGCCTGTAGCCAGTTCCCCTTTGAGGAGTGAGTTTTTAAAGCATGGAAACACATCAACCACATACTATAGGCACTTGACAGTACGTTGCACCTGGATGTTAGAGTAATCCAACTTTCTGAAATGCTGGTTTCGCAAGCAAAAGAAACTTGACCTTTCTCAAGCCTGCTTATCTTTATTCCATTCATTTTCCCACTGATTAATCTTTGACATGCATAGAAAATAATTCCAGTTGCCAAAGAGCCGGTTCCAATTCATGGTGACCCCATGTGTACCTGAGTAGAAATCTGCCCCTTAGGGTTTTTAATGGCTGGTTTGCTCAGAAACTAAATTGCCAGGCCTTTCTGCCAGGTCTCTCGGGATGGATTTGAGTCTCCAGCTTTTAGCTTCAGGGAGCACTTGAGCTTTTGGGGGCCCCACCCCATGCCCAGGGACTATGCATAGAAGCCAGGTTCACTCCAATTCCTCCTGTTACCTTCAGATGGACTGGGATCCCACACAGAACCTGGTATTTCTGCGTGAAGGATGCCCTGGTTTTGCCAGGCCTGCCCTTCCACATGACCTCTGGACCCCTCCTGGTTGAATATTTGAGGTTAGTGCTTTGTGGCCTGTTTCTCATTCAGAGTCCCTTTCTCTTCCTGCTCTAATCTCTGGCCATTAGCCCCAGGGTGAAATTGAAGCCTCTTCCCACCCTGAGATTGCACAAGGGAATTTAGCAGTAAAACCAGAGTAGGGATGTACAGGGCGATGGGCCTCACACAGGAAAGGTCTCACCATGGAAGTAAAGGACAGGAAAGTGTGGGAAGTGGCATTCTCTGTGCCATTTTGGGGGGGCACGCTGTGTGAAGCTTGTGTTCCCCCACAGAGACCCTTCCACGGCCCCTCGTGTCACGGAAAAGCCTGAGTGGCGCCCCTGACTTTGTTCACCCGGGTGTGACTTTAAAGCTAGACACTCAAGTGGACCAGGATGAATTAGGGACGTGCTGCACAAGTCATTTCCCTTCAGGACTTGTTAAGAAGAGCTGCTGAAACCAAGTGTTTTGTCAGTTTTACAGAAATCCCTGTGATTGAGCAAGACCCTGTGGTTAGAAACAAATGACACCCCGCCGCTGTGTTCGGTGAAAAGCTGACCGGATGCCATTTTCGACTAAAATGCCAGGTCTGGTCCTGCTTAAAGAGGGCTCTTTATGGGTCCTTAGGAACGGGGCTTAAGTTGTTACATTTTAGTTTTCAAATGGAAAATCTTATTTGAATTTTTTAGATAGGTTACATCTTTAGATAGGTGTGATGTTTCTGTAATCTTATTTACTTATTTCTTTTTGAGACAAGGCTGGGGAACTGATCCAAAGACTAATTCCCAGACTAGCTAATTCAACAGACTAATTCAAGGACTAACAGCTCTCAGTACCATTACTGGCTTCTAGCTTGTAGAAGGGACTCATCAAACAATTCAGCCACAGATAATGGTTTCTTTCCTCAGGGCTTCACATTCGCCCTACACATACACACACACACACACACACACACACACACACCTTGTACTTACTTTGTTTTGCAACTTAAGTTCCCTTCCTTCCCATTTCCCCAAAGCCCACTAGCATCTTGTCTGGAAAGAGCCACCTCCACAAGCCTCTGCACTTTGGCAGTTCAGCTGCGGGGGCCGTGGTTCATCCATGCCCAAAGAGCCTGTCTCTCTGCGCTGCGATCCTGCACGTGCTGCAGCTAACCCTAGAGCCGCCCAGAGCTTTCCTAGAGCCGCAGCGATTCCAACCATCGCTCCCAACCATCGCCACCCTTATCGGGGCAGTGGTGCATTTCCACTTTGTAGTCTTGGAATCCCTGTGTAGGGGCTACTATGAGTTCAGAACTCTGCTGGAGTAGTGGTTGTATGTTAGGCTACAAGCCACACGGCCAGCAGTTTGAAACCACCAGCTGCTCCACAAGAGAGAGTTAAGAGTCTCAGAAATCCACAGGAGGAGTCCAGTCCTTTCCTGGTCTCCAAACCGGAATTGACTCGATGGCAGTGAGTTTGGTTTGGTTTCGTGAGTCGGAACTGACTCGGTGGCAGAGGGCTAGTCATCCAGCACGACCCCCCTTCCAGTTCCTAACAATATGGACAGGAGATATCCTACCAGAAGAAAGTTCTGGATACAGACCAGTCACAGTTTTCGTTGATTTGGGAGCCAGCAAGTGACTGGCTGACATTATGCTAGGTGAAATTGGAAATTCATTAACGGTTAAACAATGGCCTTTGGGGGAGACCCCGTTTCTAAAATACCGTGCAAGAACCCCCTCTTCTCATTGAAAGTCACAAAGGTGAGTTTCATTGGGGAAACACTAATCCATCATTAAGGAGCACCGTAGCATCACTGGCCTTTGAGAGCAGAGGGCTGGTTACCCCCAGCAGTACTCGGGTTCCCCTTCCGACCCCTCGGCTCTGTTGACACCAACAGTTCATAGAGAGGGGGTGGGAAAGCACTGTCTTGGCTGGATCCAAGGGAAGCCTAAAACAGTCCAAACGTCCCACAGAGAGAATTGATTGGGGCCCAACTGTAGGTATCTACAACCTCGCCTCGGGCCCATCCCTGTAGACCTGGACAGGGGCATCGAGTCTGTGACCCGGTTTGAAATGTGCAGACAAGCGGTGGGTACTGTCAGGGTAGGAACCAAGGTCAAGTGCTGCCTTTGGGGGGGTGCCATTTGTGTGGGATGCAGAGGAAATTAGGGTCCAGTTAGGTTCTGTTGACTCAGTACAGCATAACTCCAGCCAGCCAACCAGCACCCCCAAGCTGCTCCCCGGAAAGAAAAGGACATACCGCTCTGGCAGACAGTGGGTGACGAGAGCAGGAGCCCGGCAGCTGCGGAGATGAGCGCTTGCATTTTGAAGAATGCGCCCAGGTCTCTGCTGTTGGCAGGTGCTTAGCCTTACAGAGCCCGGCTGGGAGCAGGGTTTCCCCTCAGGTCCATGTACTGGCGCAGATGGAAAGCGCGTCCTCTGGGTAGAAAGTTGCTCCCCTGTGCGCTGCGGCAGGAAGCTGGCTGGGTCCTCTACAGGGAAAGGGTGTGACACCGCTGAATTTCAGCGTGCAGTGACTCAGGCCCAGCCTCTGGCCAAGGGGCGGGCAGGCGGGCTCAGGCTGCATTCTCCCCAGAAAGTGCTTTAACTCTTCCCTGCCCCTAACAATCCCTCTTGAATAGAGGCTCATTCCCACACAGTGGAGTTCTTATGTAGTTAGAGAAACCTCGCCCAGCGCTTTACCAGGGGCAGCTGGCAGTCAGTGTCGACTAGCAGTTTTGAATCTGTCCCATCCTGCAGGGTGGTTTGGAGCTTTTTTAACCCAGTTTTAAAGCAGTTTCTGCTTCCTAAATGAGCTGACATGATCCATTTTATCCTCCCAGCTCTTTCCAAAGTTAATTCTTGAATTGATTGCCTAACTATCAATCAAATTAGCCGTGGAAGACAAACATTTATAAGTAGTGAAAAGTGTTGGCGTGCTTGATTACTTTGAAAAAAAATCCCCACTAACTGCTAGGCCGGTCTGAATTGGGCATCTGTGTTTAACCAGACCGCGATCCGATAAAGGGTTTGCTTTGCTTTGGTGGAATTGTTTGCCTGCTTGTTTGGAGGGATTTGAATTTGTTTGTTTGTTTGTTTGTTTGTTTGTTTGTTTTTGCCAGTGCTCAATGTGTTCTGAAACTCTTAAGTCCATAGCTCCAGGTCAGAGACGCCACCAAGCAGCACTATTGAGGAATCTACAACCATAGACCAACGTTGGAGCCTTTTATTCAGTGAGCCTTGAGGAGCGGGTCTCCAGCACGCTTTCACATGGACCTAGATTCTCCTCACTGCCGTTGGGTCAGGGCTCACTCCTGTTTCCGAGACTGTAACTGTTCACGGGAATAGAAAGCTCAGCCTTTCTCCCTCAGAGCAGCAGGGGGTTTTGAACTGCCGACCATGCAGATCGCTTTCTAGATCGCTCATAAAAGAAAACTGCATTAGGGGAGATTTTCCTGTAACTAGAGACACTTAAGATTCCGTTTCAAGCCAGAGAACCCAAGGGCCTTTTGCTTATAAAATGCAGCCAGAGCGAGAAAATGCAAATTCCACACGAGCCTTAAAAACAGAGAGGGAAGAGCTGATGTGTGCGGCATTTTAATGAAATCTTCATCAAACCAAGATCTCTATCATCAAAAGCTAGTGTTTTCTCAGCTACGTAATGTACGCTAACATACACTGGGGGGAAAGCTAGTACAGAAACTATAACACAACACAAAACATTGTATTTAATTGCAGTATTTCTAGGAGTCATCTAAATTCAGGCCTTTATGATTCGATTTACACATGACCTCGTTTCTGTTAGAAGTGCTGGTGGCATAGGGAATTTCTCATTGAGCTGCAGAAGACAGGTCAGTGGTTTGAGCCCAGTAGGCACTTCACAGAAGGATGATCGTGCTGTTCCCACAAAGATTTAAAGCAACGGCTCTCAACCTGTGGGTCGAGACCCCATTGGGGGTCGAATGACCCTTCCACAGAGGTCACCCGATTCATAACAGTAGCAAAATTACAGTTAAGAAGTAGCAATGAAAATGATTTTATGGTTGAGGGGGTCACCACCACATGAGGAACTGTATGAAAGGGTCACAGCATTAGGAAGGTGGAGAACCACTGATTTAAAGTCTTAGAAAGATCAAGGGGAAGTTCTACTCTGTCCTATCAGGTCGCTATGAGTCAGAATCAACTCAATGGCAGTGGGTTTGGTTTGGGTTTGGGATCAGTTTCGGTTCACTTCATCCATCTGTAGTTTACATGTTGAACGTGGCTGTTTAGCTGCAGGTAGAAGTGTGGCCATCCATACATCTTTTAAAAAATTATTTCCAGTTTCTGGCAATGCACTTTGAAAAGAAGCCCTTCTTCTGTAAAAGACAGCTTTTACACTTGGTTTTCTTCTTCATGCATTTGCTGTCTTTAGTTGACTGCACCACAGTTTCAGCTGTTGACTTAGTCATTGAACTTGCACAGTCTCTTTGGAGATTGGCCTGTAGGACAGAGGCTTTAATGGAGCATTGTTATTGTTGCCTCCTCTGGACACGTTGTGCTTTTATATCTTCTACAGTGATGCTATGAAAGACAATAGCTAAACATCCTTAAAGAAAAGACAGACATAAAGGAACTTGTATAGAACTTAGTTTTGAGACTGTAGAAGGAGGAACAGTGAATTAATTATCTTTGGGCCAGGAAATATAGGGGGGGAATAGAAAAAAAGTATACAGTACCACAACCTTATTCATTCGTCCCACCTCCAGTCTTGTTTCCTGTCGGAACCCTTTCCATCCATTGCTGGAAACAATGGAGCATCTTACTAACAGTTGCTGGGTCCCATGGGGCAGATCTGGCTAGAGACGATTGTGGAAGCAAGGCCAAGCCATCCTCTCCTGGCGTTTCTGTCAGCCTGGATGTTGAAGGAAGAAATCAAAACCACAGATATGTAGTCTCACTTTCAGAGCCCTGTCCACCCCTTTTAGCCTCTGCGGGGGGCAGTGAGGACGCTGCTAGACCAGATGGGGACCTTTATTCTTCCTTCCTGCCCCATCCACCTTCAAGCCTAAAGGATGGGGCTGGTTCCCCGGCACGCCCTGCGACTCCCAGCCCAGACGGCTCCCTCCCACGCACTGGTATCTTGCTTAAGGGTTTAGGCCTGGACACTTACTCCGACACATAAACAAATACTCCCCCTTTGCAAATGGAATGCTTCATCCTCCCTAAACATAGTAAGTTTCTACCTCCTGATGGCAAAACTTCCGTGCAGTCTTAGACAAGCTTCTGTAACTCAGAGTCACTGTCATGCAACAAATCATCTAGTAGCATTGTGTGGGTAGTAGGAGCATCAGAAGCAACACCAAGGCAGAAGTGTAGGATAAGTCAGTTGTATTCGTCTGGGTAGACTAGAGAAGCAAATTCATAAACACGCATATGTGTATAAGAAGGAACTTTATATACAAGAGCAATTGAATATTGAGAAACTGCCCATCCTAGTCCAGATCAAGTCCATAAGTCCAGTATTAGCTCACATAGCTGATACCAATCTATAAAGTCCTCTTCAGACTCACGAAACACATGCAATGATGCTGAATGCAGGAAGATCACAGGCCAGTGGGTGGGAAGTCTTGTGGATCCAGTGGTGGTGTAAGCATCTCAGCCCTGGCAGGGGTCTCCACGTGGCTTCTCCAACTCCCAGGAATCTGGTTGCTTCAGGGTAGGTCCATGTGGCTTCTCCTCAGGGATGTCTTGGAGGGAGTGAGCAGAGAGAGTGTGTGTCTCCTGCCTCCAAGGAGGAATATTGGAGTTCCCAGAATCCCCAGGAGAAGGCCATGCCCACACAGAGGCCTCGTTGGCTATGATCTGATTGACAGGATCAATGCCACCCCTTCCTCTTAATCCTCAAATTGACACCAGATTATGTAACTACCACATCAGTTCGTTTTGTTTGCTAAATGACCTCTCTGGAGCCACATTTATCTTTTCACTCATTCTTCCTCCTGCAACACAGAAATCTTACCATAAACTAATCTGGTCCCTTCTTAGCTGTTTCTAGATATACGTGTATCTGCAGGGAGGATTGCACTGATCAATTTGTATTGTAATTATTTGTTGACACATCCGCCTCTGCTACTAGACTGTGAACCCCTTGAAGGCCGTCACTAGGTTGGGTGGTTGGGTTTGGTCTCCATGTTGAAGAAATGTCAAGTATCACTATGGTGTCTCTCAAATGGAATGTATCCCATGGCACCTAACAGCAACATGGCACCACGGGCGTCTTGGCCCGTAGTTTGGGAACCACTGTCACTGAGTGGGTTGGGTGTGTGGGTGAGGGGAGGATTTAACTAGAGCAGTCAGGGAAGGCTTTTGTGGAGGAACTGGATTTCTAAAAGGAAAGAGAAAAACGGTCAGCGGGGCATGAGGTCAAGCCAGAGGTGGTGTGGGGGTAGACAGAGCCAGTTCATTCGGACCTCACTGCCCACGGGAAGGGCGTCTCTCTTATTCTCACTGAGGAAGGCAAGCCTTGGGGGATTGTCAACAGGACTGTGTGGAGATGCCCAGGTGGAGGAGAGCATCGGGTTCTCTGTGGACGACCTCGGTGGTGGAGGTCAAAGCAGACAGGACAACCCTGTGGCCGCCTGAGCGGTGATGAGTGGGCTGGTCCACGTCGTCGTTCATATGCAGCTTTTAACTTTGTAACCGTGCTTGGAGCTGCGAGATAAACTCTGTGGAAAGGAGCGTCCACAGGCTTCTGACAGACGTCCACTGTTCTTTCTCTGTGACATTGTTTCCAGGACTCTGAGTCGGCCTCGAATATTCTCTGGCTGGAGGAGATACAGCAAGCGATCGATGAGGCCAACATGAACAAGGACAGAGCACAAAAATGTGAGCACTCCCCTTCCTTCACTGCTAAGTCTGCCTTTTGAAAGTCTTGTGAAGCGGCGTGGATCGTGATGTGTTTAATTTGTGAGGAGCTTCCCACCCTCCTCCCAAGTTTCAGTCCTTGAATGCGTATTTGTACATAAATAAGATTAATGAACTGTCCTGTGTTCAGAGCTCAGAGTCTGTCTCCGATATCTCAATGCTGCTGAACAAAAATCCAGGGACTGTTCAAAAAATGATTTTTAAGCTCTCTAGTTTCTTAATGGGCGCCAACCACTATTTGGTCTTGATCCTGAGGAAGCTGGCCATTTCTCCCTTTAGAAAGGGAGACTGGTTGCCCTCGCATGTCCTCTGGGATACAGATTGTCATTTTCCATTCCAAGTTTCTATTTTTAAGGTGGCTTGGTATAAAAATGTCTGTGACAAGTTCAGATAGCTTCTGAATGGTACAGTGACACTCAGACGGTGGTGGTCACCTACGCAGGTTAAAAGCCTTCAGTGTGGAGTCCGGGGGTCTGGGCTGTATCCGTGGTATGATTTAGGATCTGCTCGATTGCATCAGGGCGGAAGATGCCGTTGAAGAGGTCTTGCTCCACAGATGTGCTCCTAAACTTTGGAAACATCTGTGAGAAACAATCTGGTTTTTGTTTCCTGAGCCTGGAGAAATAGCTGCATTTCTGCAACCCGAACTTTTAGACCGCTGGGAAACTGTGAAGTGTTCCCTTCCTGGCAGCCTAGTTCTGAAGAAAAAAATTAAAGTTGAGACACATATATTTCCGTTTGAATATAGAAATGAAGGCTGCCGTCACCTGCAGGTGAAGAACCCATGTAAGAATGAGCCCGTCGCTGTTACTGTGGTTGCTTGGTTTCCAAATTGTGGCAGCCCTAAGTGTTAAAAGTAGAACTGCTCCCTAAATAATCATAATAATAAACCAAACTCACTGCCATCGAGTCAGGTCTGACTCAAAACAACCTTATAGGACAGAGTAGAGCTGCCCCTGTGGGATTGAGACGGTAATTTTTTCCAGGAGTTGAGAGCCTCTTTCTCATGTGGAGCAGTTGGTAGATTTGAACTGTTGAGCTTGCTGTTACCAGTCCAACACATAACTCACTTTGCCACCCAGGTACCTGAACCACCTCCTATAGATATTCAAATAGCCACAAATGGTGGATGATTCCCCACCCCCATAGTGCTCAAATCCATTTAAGGAGGTCTTCTTGCAATGCTTCTAGTCTGGATTCTGCTTCTGTTTAGCCTGCAAATGTTACATTGTTTGTTATGTTGAGACTCAAGGCCTGTTGGCTAAACAGCAGGAGATTTTCCTACATCCATGTGATTTTGTAGCACACCCTTGTGCACATTGAAAATCCTCTCCTCGCTCTTGCTCTGCCCTGCCCCTTGGGCAGTTGATGTACTTTCGTCTACAATATGTAACAACAAAATGTTCTGAAGTTTGGAGGGGCGAGGAGGTGGGGTGAAAAAAGAAACCAACATTCTGGCATTAAGATGAGAATTTCCCCGTTTTCCAGCGAGGAATTTCATCTTAATTCCAAACACATTGTACATCCTTTCTTCTAAACACTTGAAACAGATTCTGGTCCCATGTGCTCGGCATCAAGTCCCGTTCCAGATAATGTGATAGGAGGAACTGTGTTGGGCCGCACAGGCACACACAGGCTAGCTCAGGGCCGGAGCCGGGCCAGGCTCCTTCGCAGGACTGACTCATTTTCACTGGAGCTTCTTGTTTGTGGGAAGGCCGTTTGAGTCCTTAGAACAGGATTGCTCAAGTCTTTTTCATTATGCCCCCTGGGAAGTCTTTGAGATCCTCCGCCCCTGAAGAGCCCCCACCATTAAATTATATTACCAAACATGCATCATACAAGGACAAGCATCGAAAAAAGTTCAAGGACAATGTAAAGAGAGTAGAATTTTTCCCACAGACCTTTTGAGGCCCCGCTGTGTCTCTGGTTCTGTGCTTTCTGTATAACAATGGTTTTCACACCCACCCCAAGACCCAATGTCTGCTCTGTTGGGCTGATTTTAACCACACAGAGAACGCATTCCTTCGGGCTTGCTGCTATGTGGCTTCAAACACACAGCAGGCATGCGGCGCGGTAGGTTAAGCCTTGGACCTGAAGTTTCAAGTGCACCAGCCACTTACTTAGTGGGGAGAAAGATGACATCACACCGTCGGTTCCTGGAAAGGTTCACAGTCTCCAAACCTCGGTCTCTGTGAATCCGAACTGGCCTGGTGGCAATGGAGGGAGAGGTGTGAAGGTTTCTTGTTTGTTCCTTAGTAGGAACCCACCTGACTTTTTCTTTTTTCCAAACCAATTTATTGGGAGCTAATACAGATACCATCCCATAGTTCAGTCACATCAAGCAGGATTGTGCAGTTGCTACGACCCTCCGTTTCAAAACATTCTCTTCCTTTTGAACTTCTTGATCTCAGATTCCTTTTACATACACACACACACACACACACACACACACACACACACAATACCCCCCCACCCCCAGGAACCCTTATTCTTTTTGCTGTCTCTGTAGGTTCACCAATACTGGGTTTCATATACGTACAAAAAAAAAACCCACAGAAAAACATGTAATAAAAATTCAAGAGGGTTACCCCCAATAACAAAATACATCTGAGATAAACGCCAGTATGGGATAAAAAGAAACAAACAGACCCTATCCGACAAAGTAGAACTTCCCTTATGGGTTTTCAAGACCGTAAGCCTTTAAGGGGCAGAAAGCCTCATCTGAGTGGCTGGTGGTTTCGAACTACTGACCTTGTGGGTTAGCAACCCAGCTCATAACCCACTGCGCCACCAGGGCTCCTAGACTAAATACAAGAGCAGTCAAAATGGCTATCTCTAAACCTACACGTAGGAGGCAGCCTGCTGTACTCATTGTGAGCTCCTCGGCAGGCACTGTGGGCCTGTTCCCCTCTTGGCAACACTCTAATATGCTTGGCGGTGGTTCTTCCCAGCCTGGGGTCCATGAGAAGCCCATCGGAGCACACTAAAAGCAGCAAGAAGAACTAGCTGATAGTGAAGGAAGACCAGGGAAACGAAAATTGTAGGGAGCGTGAAGCCTTATTAGACAGGAGCAAGTCCCTGAATGATGCCCTTTGCACTTGTCTTCCAAGTGAACTGGGGGCCGTTTGAACCCTCCCCCTCCTCTTCACGCATCCGTGAAGATGACAGCCCATAGAGCCTGAGGAGCAGCTGCACTCCTCACACCAAGTAACTAATGGTGGAAACAGCTTGTGACCCCGAAGTTCAATGAGCAGCCGTGAACCCACATTACTATAGATGCTGTCAACGAATAGATGGGGAAGGACAGTCCCTTCAGTTAGACCACCGGAAATCAACGTCGAAGGAAGGATGAGATTAGAAGATCATGTGACAAACCCTAGTGATCATTTCCAAAAGAATGGATGAGGAAACTAGCAGGTGAAGGTTTGATGAGAAACAGGATGTCTTTGATTGCCCTTGGGCCACACGGCTGCTCCGTGCAATAACAAGTCCCCGCAGAGGTGGCAGCCAAGCCCACCAGCAGGGCCAAGCCCTCCGGACTGCAGTGGGCTCAGTCTCCCATGTCCTCAGACCACTTTGAACCTCGGATGTTTCTCAGGTCACTTCTGGTGTTTCTGACGGTAGTGTCCGCATCACAGAACTGACACTGGGCTGTCAAGGCTGGAAGCCATGCACATGCTCCACTGATGGACTGGGACTTCCCCAGCATGGCCTCTCAAACAGGATGTCCTGTGTAGTCTTATGAATACCGAGCAGCTTGGAGTCAACTTAATGGCAAGAGGTTATCCGGGAGCAAATAAGTCAACATAGGCCCACAGTCCGAGAAGGTACCACTACTTGTATTAGAACATGCATCATTTTAGTGACATAAAGAATTCCTCTGACAGCTCTGAGCAAAACACCAAGCGCTTTCTTTGCACTGGGGATTGTGGTTAAAAAGGCAGGCTAGAGACCCTTCTGGCCTTAAGGTCATTTCCCAGGCACACTTTAGATTTGGGGGGAAGTGCTTCTACAAAAATGAGTATTGATACATAGAGTACACGTCAGTTAGCCAGTAAGCTCACCTGTGGCCCCTCTCCTTCAGCATCGGTATCTGATGATAAAGAGCATTACTAAAAGCAGGAGAGAGGGACCTATAAAATATTCCCTTTTAAGGTAAATTGCCATTTACTGAGTGAGAATGGGAACACTATCGGATGTAATTCCTGTGGGAATTCTTCTTGGCCATGGCTCTCTCAACCCCACGACTCTCAAATGCCAACCCTCCCGTTTCCCCCAGGCTACGAAGCTTTCCTGAAGAAGAGAAGAGGAAGCAGTCTGGTGTCTGTCACCCTCTATTAGCACTGTCAGACCTTTGTTCAGAAACCGTTGGGCTTTGTCATGAGGACTCTTCCGTAGGCTGAGTGGCTGCTTCCACATTTGCAAGATTTCATTTCCCAGCTGTTGCTAGTGAGAACTCGGTTTCTCTTGCCCATCCACACTCTCACCCCTCCATAGTGGTAGGTAAACCCTGCCATCAAGTGCGTTTTGGCTCATAGCTACCCTACAGGACTGAGTCGAACTGCTCCTTTGGGTTTCCCAGACTGTGAATCTTTGTGGGAGTAGAAAGCCTTAGCTTGATCCCTCAGAGTGCCCAGTGGGTTGGAACTGCTGATACCACCCGGCTCCTCCTGTTGGGAATATGTCTTCAGGACAACAACAACAACGTGCTGTGTAGCACCTGCGTGGGAGACGTTGGCGTGTGTTTATATATTCTGTTTAAAACACATGCCTCTCCCATTTCTTTTCAACAAGATCATTCTCTGTCTATAAAACCATTTAACCGAGCTTCTTTCATTTTTTCTGTTCTCTGTTTCTAATTCAGTGCGTGCACACGTTGTGAAAAGAGAATTGCATTGGTTGGGCCAGATTTTTTCATGAGTTATAAAGAAGTCCCCAAGTTAGCTTTGTCTAGACACTGTCTAGCGTTCAGGGTGGTCTTTCTCGTGAGGAGAGACAGACATTAGAAACAGGATAAAGTGCATGTGCTCTGGGTGTAAATTGGTTCCAGCAAGGCGTTTCTGGACTTCATGGTTACATAGCTCCAGATGTGCCTTCCTGGAACAGCTGTGTAGATTGTCCGACAAGTCCACGAAGTGGACTACCACGCTACAGGAGGATACCAGACTTACCCGCCTTTCGCTTGTTCTAAAACACATGTCTCCCTAAAGCTGGTTCTCAAAGAGCGATGAGCAACGTAGGGCTGCCTGTCCCCTGTAGGCGTGCAGTCACCCCACGTCAGAGGTGATCACTGTGTGAGCAAAGCCCACGAAAGAGAGGAACCAATACTGTGCGAGGCAATAATGCAATTTTAGCCCACCTGGTTCTGTCAGATCTTTCTTTTTTAAAAAAAGTATTGCTTTTTCTTTTTTCATCATTTTATGAGGGGCTC